TCTGGGGGAGGGGGTGGGCCGGGCAGAGTTAGGGGAGCGACACTCCTGTCATGGCTCTTGCTTCTTGTCCTGCCGTGGTTCCCAGTGCTGCAGTCAGACGTGCTGCCCTCCCTCCCCCTCCATCTCCAGAGCAGCTGGACTGGGCTCAGCTGTGCCACAGACAGAGGAGGAGAGAGGAGCCTTCCTAGCCCACCTGTCCCTGAAGGCGACGCAGCCCCACGGTGCCTCACTGCACAACCCAGGGCAGTGGCTGACACCCACGGGCCTTCCCACCTGCTCGGGTACTCAACCCAGCTCTGAGTGGAAGTAGATCATCTGCACTGGCTAGAAGCTGGCCAAAAAGGGAAGCCCGGGGAGGTGGGGGTGACTATGGGGCTCACAAAGGGCCAGCTGGATGTGGAGAACATTCAAGGATCACTTGAGCTGGTGTCTGCGCAGGTGTCAGTGAACACAAGCAACTCTGGTCCATACGGCATCATCCCTCCTGTACGTGGAGCAAATTGACGGTGCAACAATGGCACCTAAATTACTTCTCAGAGTCCAGCAAAGACCAGGGCTCTGCCATCTCCACTCCCATCTCTGCTTCCAAAGACACATCCAATAATGCCAGCTACCTGACCATCACTGAGAGCCTTGCAGAGGACGAGGCTGATTATTGCTGTGCTACATGGCACAAGAGCACTTGTCAGTGGCAGCCACAGGGAAGGAAATCCAAACCCTCCTCTGCCCTCAGAGCCTGGAGGGAGCTGCGCGGGAGCACGTCACATGCAGCAACTCTGTGCGTGTGACTTCTCCCTCTGCAGGGGAATGGCCTGTTACCTGCCACCACGCTCTCTGGGTAGAGCCGAGGCAGCTCTTCCCTCCTTTTCCTGGAACCTGAAAGATTTGGGGGTGGGGGGTTCTTTGCCCTCCTCATCCTCCACTCCTTTCATGGGGAGGAGGGGAACATAACCCCCCAGGACAGAGGAGAGAGAAGGGTGACAGCTCCAGTTGCAGCCTCTGGTGACACTGCCCCTGCTCCCTGGCTGCAGCTCCCTTTCACATCCCCAGGAGCAGAGGGCCCAGGAGAGGGGCTGGCTGCAGAAATCCCCATGTCCCTTGGAGCAGGAAAGGCCAGTCGAGTTTCCACCTGCCAGGAGCAAAGGCAGCATGTGCTGGAAGTGGGGCCCTGCGAGCTCAGACTGCAAGAGTCAATCCAAGCTGCAGTGCCTGTAGGACCCGACTGGGCGCTGCTGGTCCCCATTGAGTGGGACCGAACATGAGGCTTTGTAGAGTGAGACCTTTTCTTGCAGACTGATCCTCCATTGCATGTGGCTCCTCCCCTGTGCCCACAGGGACCAATCAGACAGGAGCACATTAGCAACAAGGCCCCACTTCACTGCTCCCCTCCCCTCCACTTCCCCCCACTGCCTATATAAGAGGCAGGCATGGCAGGGCATTTTCAGTGGGTTTGTCCCTTCTCTCTCCTGCAAGTGCTGGTGATCTCCTCGCCATGCAGTGGGCTCCCCTCCTTGTCCTGCTGGGGACGTGGTGCACAGGTGAGAGCGGGGATTGGGATAATTACACAGAGAAGTGGCTGCTCTGCTGCACAGAGAAGGGGAGCCCTGGGCGGATGTGACAGTGGTCTGCATGTTGTTTTCCAGGTGCCAGATCACAGTCTGTGCTCACTCAGCCGCCCGCAGAGTCAGTGTCCTTAGGAAACACTGTGAAACTCTCCTGCACCGTGAGCAGTGGGACCAGCATCAGTGACTACAATGTGTACTGGTACCAGCAGAAACCTGGGACCCCCCCTCGGTACCTGCTGAGATACAAGTCCAATTCTGACAAGCACCAGGGCTCCGGGGTCCCCGCTCGCTTCTCTGGCTCCAAAGACACGTCCAGTAACACTGGATAACTTTACGTCCCACCTGACACCACAGAGCGCCGGGGTCCTCACAGAGGACGAGGCTGACTATTACTGTGCTGTGTGGCACAGTGATGCTTGTCACAGTGACACAGCCACAGGGGAAGTGAGACAAAAACCTCCTCTGCCCTCCCACAGCCGGGGCTCTGTGGGAGCCAGCAAGGAGCCGTACCAAAGGCAGCAATCACTTGTGCAAACGTGGTGAAATGTAACGTCTCCCTCTGTCGGGGAAAACTGGTGGCCTACCAACTGCTCTCTCCGGGAAGAGGTAGCCAGCTCTCCCCTTCCACCCGCCGCCCCTCCCCGCCCCCACTGAGTCCCTCTGCTCCCTGCTCTTCCCCCTAGCTCATCCTCTGCCCTTTCATGAACAGATGGAAAATACGACCCATCCTGGCTCCCATCTCACCTACCCCCCACCCCCATGGTGAAAAATGGGGCTTTTCTATTTCTTTTCCACATTATATTGGATGCTATAGGCAGACCCTCTGGCATCTTTGGGTTTCAACTCTGGTAACACGGCTACGCTGCCCATCACTGGAGTCCAAGCCCAGGATGAAGCTGTTCATTACTGCCAAGTGTGGGACAGCAGCACTTTCCACAGTGGTACAGTGCAACGGGGAAGGGAAATGCAACCCTCCTGCTGCCAAAGGCCACACTTACTATTTATATTTACTCTGGTCTGAGAGCCAGGCCTTCACCTACTTCACTAAACTGAGGGCCAGGTCCAGGCTCAGCAGATACTGGCAGAGCTCTCCTGAAGTCAGTGAAACTACATCATGCAGAGATCTCAATATTTCTCTTCCAAAAACTGAGCACCTCCCGTCCTACTAGGGTTTCACCAAGAAACCAGCAGTGCATTTCACTTGCTCATGCTTCTCATATGGTCTCCAGAGAAAGCAGAAATATCCTTAGCCCAGAGTTCAGAGTCCTCCCATCTTTTCCCTTCCAGTCTTAGCAGTGTCTACATTACAGGGATAGATGATTGCAAGCCCCCTACTCCATAGTGCAGCTCAGCTGTGGCATTGTCCTTAATGACCCAGTAACCTACAAGCCTTGTTTTGTCTGCTTAGCTTCTCCTCTGCTCTTTACTCAGTGTCATCAATGTATTTAATTGTGATACATTATTTCCCCTCAGCCTGAGCAACTTAAAGGCTTTGTGTGTTGGAGCTCAAAACAAGGAGTCCGATGCAATCTGCTCAATGGTCATCATCAATAACTTGTTTCCCAACACAGTGTGCAGGAAGCAGGAAGTGAACTGGCCCCCAGCCCAGCTACATTTCAAATACATGGGCTGACACCAGGGCAGATCAGAGGAGCAGATCCAGCAGAGAGCTGCAGTCCTGCAGGAGGAGCACAGAACTTAACCCCCAGTTGCAGTACTCCTGGGAGACCTGTATGAAAACAACTAGATACAGAATGGTTTCTAGGCCTAGTCTTGCTCCCACCCCCATCTGCAGGGTACGCAGGGATGCATGGGGTGTGCATGCACTCAGAGCAGTGTGGCGGGAAATTAGGGGATGCTCCTGTGCTGAGCCACCTGCCTCACTGCGTCTACCCAAAAACCAAGCTCCGAATGCCTCCCCTCGTACAGGCTTACGTACTGCTCAGGTGCTCCTCAGAAAGGCCTGATCTAAGCCTTTCAAGCCAAAGGGATTTGGGGGTAATTTCACCTCCCTTCCCCACGGAGCTTTCTCCAGCTAGGAGTTGCTCCCAGTGTTTTCCCTCCTCCTTTCAGATTCCCTTGCCGAGTACATCCCCTGCACTGTCTGTGTCTCCAGGACAAACTGCTCACATCACGTGCAATGGAGAGAAGCTTAACAAGAAGTATGAACACTGGTACCAGCAGAAACCTGGCAGCGTCCCCCGACTTCTTATATACAAGGATCAAGAGAGAGCCTCTGATGTCCCTGACTGATTCTCTGGGGCCAGCTCTGGTAGGACAGCAACGCTGACCATCACTGGAGTCCAAGCCCAGGACGAGACTCATTATTACTGTCTGAGCTTTACAGTGACACAGGGCAATGGGGAAGTGAGACACAAACTTCTTCCTGCCCCTGCAGAGGTGTCAGACCATTTCTTCTCATGCGAGTGAGGGGTGCTCTCCATGGAGAGAGTGAAATAGCTGTTCAGGCCCATCCTATAGCTGCTGCGAGGCCAGGCAGGATGCAGGACTTCTCCACAGTCACCCCTGGGAACAACCTCCCTTCATGGCCCTGAGAGCTCTCACGTGAGTGACCCTGGGAGACACGGGACCACCTCCCTATTCCTACTATAGGAGCAAACCTGATACACTCACACTCCCACTTGGCCATGTCTAAGCTTGTGGTGCTCACCCCTCTTCTGTGGACCCCTGTGCACGCAGATGCTCCTCACCTGAGAGCCAGACGTGGCTGAACACTGCTCTCCAGAGCTCTTCTGTTTCCACAGGAAGACCAACTCTCTGCCTATAATCACTTCACCCATGAGTCCACTCCCTGCCTCTCAGTGGACCCGGCCTCCACATGGACCAGAAGTGAGACCTCCAGTGCTGGCGAAGTCTCCTGGAGGTCAGGCTCACAAAAGCCAGGAGACATGCTTCCTTTTTCCCTGCCCTCCATGCCCATGGCCTTTGGGCCTCGCAGGCATCTGTGCAGGAGCCAGCACAGCAGCCTCACAACCGCGGGGACAGGACTGTGAGTGCCCCAGCCGCCTGCAGAGGGTTCGGGATTGAAAGTATGGTCAGGGGTAGAAAGGTAAGAAAGGTTTATTGACTTAACAAAAATACAACTACACATAGTAACAAGACAAACAATGACAGACTAAAACAACTTTCGTCGGCAACTTATTGGCAGTCCTCTCTGATGCTTGCTGTACAGCATGTTTCTCTTTCTACAAAGTTCAACGAAGTCAGGCGTCCCTGATCAGCGCTGTCCAAGGGGTACTGGGAAGGACCCTGGAATTCAGTTCTTGGGTTCCTCGAGGTCTACGGGCTCACTGATCTAGGCAACAGCTAACTAATCCTTTTTACAGAGCTGTATCTTCCTTCTGAATGGTTTCTAGATATTGTACCTAATTTATGGCTTCTGAGTGGTACTGATAATGTACAACCACTTGGATTCTTTTTACTTGAACTGTTCTTAGACTGACCAATAGCAGTACAAGCCTTGCATTCCTTTGATAAGATAATTTTAACTATGCTACAGGGCCACACTGCAGGCTGTACAGGGCTGTGTCAGGCTGCAGTGTAGGGGAAAGGGAAGGTGGGCACTGTTCAGTGTCTCGGACAGACCAGCCAGATTGGTGCTGATGTTAGCTCCTACAGGCAGAGCCCTTTCCTGTGTTGTGCAGCTGGGGCTGTCCTGACCCCTGCACAGAGCAGAGAGGGCATTGTGCCATGTGTGGGCTGCAGGGATTCAGCTATAACATCCCTGCAACCCCCACACCTGGCTTGTTCCATACCTGAAGCACCAACTGGTGACAAACCCCAGGGGGAAAGCTCAGGATTAGCACAAGGCACGTAGACAGGGCCAGCACTCTCGGCATGATGGTGTGAGCATTCACCCCACAGAGGGGCTCCTGGTCATAACACAGCCCCCCCAGGACAGCCCTGTCCCACACCTGTCCTGGAGGCAGCTGCATGTCAGCTGGCAGATCCCAGGCCCAAGTCCAGTCCTGCCGTCTGTGCTGTCTTGGTGAGGGGCTGGGACTGGCTGAGTTAGAGGAGCAACACTCCTGACATGGCTCCTGTTCCTTGTCTGCCATGGTTCCCAGTGCTGCAGTCAGACACGCTGCCCTCCCTCCCCCTCCATCTCCAGAGCAGGCATATAGGACCAAGCTGTGTGACAGGGATAGGATGAGTGAGGAGCCCCACCTCCCCAAAACCTGGCAGCATGTGAGAAGGGAGAGGCAGCCAGCCTGGCACCCGATCCCCAAGTTTCCTCCTCAAGGTGACCTGGCCCAGCCCTGCTGCTTGTGCCAATGGCACCAGGCCTCAGCAATGCTGTGCATGGCCCTGTTGTGCCATGAAAGCCCCAGAGGTCATAGTGGTTAGCAGTTCCCTGCTCCCCCGCCCACCCCGGCTTCCCTCCAGGGAAGAGCAGTAAAACCAGACCAGGACACATCTAGCTGCTGGGACACTTACTACCTGCCTTTCATGACCTCTCCATTTGGTAATAGGCAATTTATTGATACACGATGATAACAGAAAAAAGCAATAAGAACAGTCAAGCAATTCTATAGATCCACTAAATCCTAGGACTGTCATCAGAGGAAAAGTACATCTGGCCAGGACGCAGTCTTCATTCTGAGGTTCTCTGTTAGGTGTCAGGTGTCACCATGTCAGCAGCCTGGAGGTGGGATGCTGAGGCAACTCGCTAAGAGTAGAAGAGACAGGCCCAGGACAAAGCCAAGGACAAGGGTGTCAGTTCCAGTTGTAGCCTCCAGTGACATGCCCCTGCTCCCTGTCTGCAGCTGCTTTCACATCCCCAGGAACAGAGGACCCAGGAGAGGGACTGGCTACAGAAATCCCCATGTCCCTTGCAGCAGGAAAGGCCGGTTGAGTTTCCACCTGCCAAGAGCAAAGGCAGCATGTGCTGGAAGTGAGGCCCTGCGAGATCAGACTGCCACAGTCAATCCAAGCTGCAGTAACTGTAGGACCTGAATGGGCACTGCTGGTCCCTGTCAAGTGTCACCGAACAGGGGTCCTTGTACAGCGAGACCTTTTCTTGCAGACTGATCCCTACTTGCAGGTGGCTCCTCCCCTGTGTCCAGTCAGAGGCTAGGGGCCAGAGGCTGCCAGGACAGCACCTTGCATTGAAGCCCCAAGTGAAAACCATACGACCAGCCTCTGCCCATGGGAACAAACTCCATGCCCTGAGTGTCTCAGTCCTTTAAGGCACTAATTCTGTGGGATGAGCTTGACTTTGAGATGAGTATGTGGGTGGTGGGGGTTGTCCCTGCCATCCTCATCCTCCATGCCATCCATAGGGACAATGGAGCATAACTTCCCTGCCTCCCTTCTCACCTTCAGAGAAGACCTGTGTCCCCCCCACCCACCTCCCTCCTTCTGGATGGGCCCTCTGCATGGCCTGGCTGAGGAGTGGGCAGCGCCCAGGACAGAGTGACCGAGGGCATCCTCTACTTATGCAGTGGGTCTTTATGAAGTGAGATCCTTTCTTGTGGACCGATCCCTGCTCGCTCGTGGCTCTTCCCTTGTACCCACAGAGGCCAATCAGACAGGAGCATATTAGCAACAAGGCCCCACTTCACTGCTCCCTTCCCTCCATTCCCCCCCACTGCCTATATAAGACACAGGCATGGGAGGCCATTTTCAGTTGGTTTGTTCCTTCTCTCCTGCAAGGGCCAGTGATCTCCTCACCATGCTGTGGGCTCCTCTCCTTGTCCTGCTCGGGATGTGGTGCGCAGGTGAGAGTGGGGAGAGGGATAATTACACAGAGAAGTGGCTGCTGAAGCTGGTGTCCCAAGCACAGGACCAGCAGGAGGGGAGCACTGGGCAGATATGACAGATATCTGTATGTTGTTTTCCAGGTGCCAGCTCACAGCCTGCGCTCACTCAGCCACCCGCAGAGTCAGTGTCCCCAGGAAACACTGTGAAACTCTCCTGCACCATGAGCAGTGGGACCAGCATCAGTGGCTACAGTGTGTACTGGCACCAGCAGAAACCTGGGACCCCCACTCGGTACCTGCTGAGATACTACATTGATTCCAGCAAGCACCGGGGCTCCGGGGTCCCCGCTCGCTTCTCTGGCTCCAAAGACACGTCCAGTAACCCCGGCTACCTGACCATCGCCAGTGTCCTCCAATCACCCTGTCTGAGTGGGATGTAGAGAGCTCTTCCCTTGTTTTCCCCCATGGAGCCCCTCTGCTCTCTGCCCTTCTCCCTCCTCATTCTCTGACCTTTCGTGGAGAGAAGGGACCAACAACTTCCTGGCTCTTATCTCACCTTGTGAGAACCCGTATCCCCCCATCCCAGCCCTTGCCTCCCTCCTGTTAGACACAGACCCTGCACAGACTGGCAGGAGTTGCAGCCTCCAGGGACAGAGGGAGGAAGGATGGCAGCAGCTCCAGCCGCAGCCTCAGTGACATCCCTCCTCAAGTGTCCAGAGTCAGGACATTGTAGAGCTGCGGAGTTGCCCCTCTCCTAGCTGACCCCTTACCACCTTCTCAGTGTCACGCACCATTACACAGCCTCAGCCCTGTCCTCTCAGCATGTGAACAAACTTTTAGTCTTGGAGGAAATGCCTGCGGGGGGTTTAAGAAGGACTCAAAGACCATTTGGTTCAGGAAGTCAAGTTGATCTGGATCCCACCATGGCCTGAGCCCCTCTCCTCCCCTTTCTGGTCACCACGCTGGCATGGTGAGGAAGGGCCTTTTCTAAGTAACTTCCTTGACAGAGGTTTGCCTTTCTCCAGCCTGCTCTGCCTGCAATGTGTATTCTCTCTCTGTACATTTACTCACATTTGATTATTTCCAATGTTTTCCCCTCCTGTCCCAGGGTCCCTTCCCCAGAACATGGTGACTCAGCCACCATCAATGCCTATGTCTCTGGGACAAAGCTAAGCTGACCTCCGAGAACAGCACAGATATCAAAAGAGTGCAGAGTCAGTGTACCAGTAGGAGCCTTACAGGGCCCTCATGCTCATTATACCTGATGCTATATGCAGACCCTCCAGCATCCCTGACCTATTCTTGGGTTTCAACTCCAGTAACACAGCTATGCTGCCCATTGCTGGAGTTGAAGCCTAGGATGAGGCATTTCATAACTGCCAGATGTGGGTGTCACAGGCCAGCTGGACACTGTGAGGGTATCAGCCACTGGGCTGTTTGGTTCGGGATTGAGGAGGCAGAGTTCGAGAGTGAAGCAATGGCAAATTTATTATAGCTTACACACACACAACAGTTAACAGAAAGATAAATGCGATAGGCAGATAATGCAGTATTAAAAAGTTAATAGTAAATAACAACAGATAATAACAACTGATAGATAGTCAGTGTCTCCAGGACAAATTGCTCAACTCACGTGCAGAGGAAAAATTTGTGACAAATACTATGTGTACTGGTACCAGCAGAAACCTGGCAGCGCCCCCAAGTTTGCGACGTACAAGGATAAAGAGAGATGCTCCAATGTCCTTAATCAGTTCTCTGGGTCCAGCCCTGGAGACATGGCTATGTTAACCATCACAGGAGTCCAAGCCCAGGGCAAGGCTGATTATCACTGCCAGGTAGGGGATAGTGACAACAGCACTCATCACAGTGACACAGGGCAATGGGGAAGTGAGACACAATTTTATTTATTTTTAAGGAAAAATATTCAAGTTCCAAGTCAAATCAGTCAAATAAATTCCAAATCTATGAGTCATTCAAGAACCAAATGTGGGCCTACTACTGGCAAACATCCTTCACCCCCACCTGGGCCTTCATATGCTTCCAAATCCTTTGGCAGGTATCCTACGTGCAGGCCCAAACCCATGAGTGCGGGGTTCGGATGCCACCAAGTTTTGCTCACCCTCAGCCGTACGGCCAAAGGAGCAAGATAGGGAGGAGTCTCCCATTTCCATAAAGTCACCATGTAGCTGATATCCTCCCACTAGCAGCTGGCCAGCAGGACACTAACTATGAGGCTTTTGTAGGGAGTCCTGTCCGCAAGCAGATAAGGGTGAAATCCTCCACTACACAATGCCATTTTAAGTGTATTACCTCTGTCAGTGTATTTCCCCTGCCATCATCATGATCATGGTATTTCACAAATTTATTGTCCTCGGGGCAAACCTTTGATATTAGTGATCCCCGAGGCTGTGTGAGGGGCAGCTTCCAGGCAGGGCACTACACACGCATTGTGGACCCCACCCCTCCACTCCCTCCCCCTGCACCCTCCAACCCTGGGGCAGAGTCAGGATCAGTACTGCCAGGACCGCCTGGGATAAAAAAGGCAATCACTCTTTGTGCAAATGTATGAAGCACCAGGTTACATAGGGAGCTTTTCTCATCCCTTCCTCTGTAAAGCTCTGTTATCAGCTCAGCTGTGGGAGAAAAGGTTTCCCATGTCACTTCCCAGGCATCCTTCTCGGCAAACTGGTACCGTGGCCTGTATCCTCCCCACAGAAACAATCTCACCTGCATACCCAGAGCACTGTACAGGGCAGGATGCTTTAGAGCCCTGGGATCTCCCTTCGTTCCTCTTACTAGAAGAAACTGGACTCACAGACCCCACTTGCCTCAGTGTCACCACTCTGAGGGTGAAGTTACACTTAAAAAACATTAATGGAACTTAAAACACGAGCATCTGCATGTTAAAGCTCATCCAGTCCCACTAAGTGCCCCTGGAGAAGCTCAAAGTTAAAACACTTCAGGCGACAGTTAACTCTGGTCTGTATTCCCTGGCTCATGATAGGGTAATTTCTGCTCCAAGGAGAAAAAACAAGCAATTTGCACTTCTCCAGCATCCCAGGATGCACTGCTCCCAGCCCCTGTCTGTCTCCCAAAGAGCAAGGAGAGAGCCCAGGAGGAGTACTGGCTCCTACCTATGCCCCTGATCACAGCCCGTAAGTGTTAAGCGAAGGCATCCAGGCAGCAACCAATATTAATCCTTAACATGAGACTGCTCACAGCAAGTCCTACCTTTCACCAGCTTTCCACTGATTTAATGTGGTCTGAATGTTACATGCAACTTCTCCCTAACCTGTCACCGCACCACAGGAAGCCACCAAATGAGGACATCCCACCCCCAGGGTACCAGCCATGGCCCGACACTCATCTCTCAGCCAGCCTTCCACACAGGACAAGCACCATCCTCCTCTCAGCTTCACCTTTAGATCTCCCTCCTTTCCCTCAGCACTTCCAGCTTCCCCAGTGGCACGGCCCTCTGCTCTGGAGGACACCTGGGCTCTGCCGCTGGAAGGCAGCAGCCACAGCTCGCTCTTCCCCTAAGGCTCTCCTCCATGGCCTGCAGGATGGGGCAGCATCTGCCTCCTAACCCAGCAAAGCTCCCCTGCCCTCACCCCTGAGAACAAGCATGTCTGGGCCCAGGCAAACAAGGGCCAAGGCCTGGGCAAGGTGAGAAAGAGCAGGAGATGCTCGATCTCTTGCAACAGGAAATTGTAAAGAGGTTGTGTTATATTTTTGTTCTTGTGCAGAATAAAAGAGCAAGAGCAGCTCCCAGACATACAGAGTGGTTTCCGCACTTAGAGGAAGGGGCATGCGGGGGGTTGGTGCTGGTACTACAAGGAGAGTTTGTATGTAGAGATAGTTTACCAATCTCAGGCTGTGTTAATCCTCATTAAGGCAAGTGTAAGAGCACATGTTGCCTCCAGCAGTGCTGGAAATAGTTGCTGGAGACCCCAGCTAATGCAAAGGAGAACAGCACGCTGCAATGCCAGCCATGCTGGCAGCAGCTGCACCCTGCTGACTGTAGCGGCTGTTTGGGACAGTCAGAAGGGGCCAGGTCTGAACATACCCCAGCCCCTGTCTGTATGGGGCTGCATTTCCACATGCCTGAGCAGATTGGAGAATCAGGTTCAAATTCTCATTGTAACACCAACTCATTCCCGCGGGGGCAGCCCTTCCACAATACAGACCACAGCTGAGGGTCTGGGCTATCATAGCACAAGCTGCTGGGTAGAGCAGTCTGCAGGCTGGGAGCTTTGCTTCCCCAACAGATGTCCCGTTTTCATCCCAAGCGCAGGAGCCCCAAATGGAAACCATACAATATGCCTCTGCCCTGGGGAACCAGCTCTGTGCACTGAAAGTCTGAGCCCCTGGAGGCATTTTCTCTGTGAGATAGGTTTGACTTTTCCCTTGCACATTCTTTTATATGTGCAAAGGAGTGTCTGTGATGGGGGCTGAGGTGAGAGCAAAAGCCAGTGACAAGGGACAGATTTGCATAAAGGGGCCAATCTCAGCTCTGCGGGGTTAAGAGAGAGTCAGAGGATCCCAGCCAAGACCTGTTTGCCTAAGGAGGCCCAACTGGTCTAGATTCCATCCATGGCCTAGGACCCGCTTCTCCTGGAGCTCACCTACTGCTCAGGTGCTCCCTGGGAATGATTGATCTTGGCCCTTCAAACCAAGAAGACTAGGGGTTTATTCTCACATCATTCCCCACTGTTTCCCCAGGGAGGTTTCTTCAGCAGGGAGTTTACCCCAATATTTTCCCTTCTTCTTACTGGTTCCCTTTCCACGTACATACTGACACAGCTGCCTGCAGTGTCTGTTTCTCTGGAAAAATTGTCATTTCTGCAGCTAAATTAATACTACCACCCCTGAGTTAAGGTTTTTAGCTAGAGCTACTAAAAGGTCTGCAGAGCTATGACATAAAAGAGAGACATTACTAGGAATGGCTAAGAGAAAGCAAAATTGCAGCAGAAAGGGCAGTTTAAATAGTGGAACTTGAAAGGATTAATTGGAAGCAGGGAGATGACAAGCAGCCATAAAGTCAGTTGACCATTCCAGGATGCCATTTTACCTTGGCATGCCTTGAGCCCCTCTGGGCACAGAGAAGGATGGGCCACGTGTCAGCTGCAGGGAGTCAGGTGCGATGTCACCCACAACCCCCCGTGCCCAGATCACTTCATACCTGCAGCTTTCCTGCCTGCACGTGCCACTTACCCATTACCCAGGAGCCTGTCACCTCACAGCACTGCACAGGCCTGAGTTGATTAGTGCTCCAGTTACTCCTGGGAGGCAGGAAAGGAAAGGCACTCCTCCAACTGCTTGCAGGAGAAGCCAGGAGGGGATCGGACCATAAATGGCAGCGCTCACAGCCCCCAGTCCTGTGCCTGGAGCACTGGTGCCCTCTCTCTTGCCCTCTCTTTCATGCCTTCCCCTGGTGCATACTGGGCG